GATTCCCAAGAGGCAATTCCCTGTAGTATTCCGAAGTTACTGTACAGACAAAATCCTGTGTCTGAGGAGAGCCATGCCCTGGATCTGTCTCGGACAGATACATGTTTCTTTCCGGTCACCACCAAATCAGACACTTAACTGTGGCTTTGCTTCCTTTTAGGCGCCTAAATAATGGGTTGCCTTTTAGCGCTTACAGCTACCTGCAAGGAGATCGCTCCTGGCCACCTCCACACGCAGGAGTGATCCCACCCAAGTCCCTGGAGAGCTTTCTCTTCTCCAGGCAGCGATCCCCCCCTTGCCCTGCAGCACCGTGTCCTTGTGTGACTCCCTCACCGCACAGCAACGTCCCGGCCTGACTCCCACCTGCCCCGCAGCACGGCGTTCACCCCGAGCATCTTCCCGTCGAGGAACGCGTGCCGCATCGTGTGGGGCAAGAGCTGTTGGCAGCCATCCCTCCCCTCCTGCCCCGGGCAGCCTCTTCCCTCGAAGGAGATCTGGCGCTCCAAAGACCTCCCTGTGCTTTTCCACTCTGTCTGCACGCATCAGCTCACTCGGCATACAGCGATCCCTTGTCTCTGGTCTTACAAGCAGGGAAACTGAGGCACGGAGCAGTGCGCTCAGCAGCACGTCTTCGGGGCCTCCTCCTCCCCCGGCAGCGCTGTGCAGCAGTTTTTCTCAGCAAAATGGCACAAATATAACTAGTTGAACACAAAGGCAAGACCCGGAACTGCTGTGATTCATGTCTAACACCAACTTGGGGTTGCTCTTGGCAGCTTGGCGTGGTGTAGCGTGAGAGCCAGGCTGGGTGGGAAGCCGGCTCTGTCAGGCAGGACAGTCGCCTGTCCAGGGAGGCAGGAGAGGAAGGTCAGAGGTCCCAGCTGTGGTCCAGACCAGGAGCTGAAACCTTCGCCTTGTCCATCTCTACTGAGATCTCTTGCTTCTCACACAAGGACTTGAATCAGTGATTCAGGCACTGAGGTAAGGCCGTTTCCTGGCTTCGTACCTCAATTTCCTTGGCCGCAGCTTGGAGCAGACACTGTTTCTGTGCTGTATTCGCACGCTTTGAGCCTTGGCTAAGCAATGTTAATAAAGCTTAGGGGTTTCTTGTCTCCCAGAACCTGTGATGCTGCATGTGTGGCCATGAGCACGATATACCTGTGTCTGTGGTTTTATGTATTTGGCAAAATTGCAACATCCTGCATAAGAAAAATACCTATAAATATATTAAACTGCTCATGAAATGTTCTCCATGTCCACCTGCAGGCTTGTCTTGTATTATGGTGTAAACTTCCCACTGGAAAAAGAGAGTAAAACCGATTAGATCTTTTTTATTTTCCTCCAGAAGTGTTTGGTTTCCAAATGGCCAAGAACAGCTGTGGGCTGGGCGGTGGGAATGCGGCCTCAGAGGTAATTCCCGTGATTGTCCTCCAGCCGATATAACAATGTAGATTTTCCCAGCTGCTTCCAGGCGTTGGCGGGGACCGTCCTTCTTGCGGGACTCCTGAGAGTCCCCGGGACTGCCAGGATGGGAGGAAGGAGCTCTTCTAGGTGACATAAAACATCTGAGCGTGCTACCACCAGATCTCAAAACCGGGCTTATGGCAGGCTCAGCCGTCGGCAGGACTCCTGCCAGGCTCTCCAGGCCTCGAAGAGATGCTGAGCTGGTACAGCTGAGACCCACCAGCCTTGGACGTTTTGCCCCTCAGCTCCTTGGGCATGGGGACAGGCTGGAAAAGGGTTCTGGGGCCGCTCACCACAAGGCTGCAGCTGTGCGTGTGCTGAGAAGTTGTTTGTCTCCGGAGTCCGGGATGTGCCAGGCTCAAGGGCTGAGTCATTTGATTTCTCAAATGCGTGCTGAAGGGATGGCAGAGGAAGCTGCCATGTGGTTCCCTGCAGAGGGGAAGGCGGGGGGAGACCCTCACGGGCTGATGGGTCTGCCGGAACTGAGCTGAACTTTCTGCTTGAAAAGCTTTGACTAGCAGGAAAAAAAATGTGCCCCGGTGCGGAGAAGAGAAAGAAGCCACTGTGTGCAGGGAAGTGCAGGCCAGGGCCGGGGTCAGCGCCGGGGAGCACACACTTGTTCCTTTAGGGGCTGCAACGTGTAATTTAGCTTGTCACGGAGGAATGTGCTCAATGCCTTTATTTAATCGTGAGTTTGCAAACCTGCTCGGGTGCCTTGTCTTCCTTTTTCCCTTCCCTTCCCAGCTAGGGGGAGAGGGAACACGGTGCTTTTGTCTCCGACCCTGTGGCTGCTGTCAGATGAATGGTTTTAGTGGCCGCTCTGTTCGCATGACTGGTTTGAACTATGCCAGCGAACACGCCGCAGTTGCGAGCAGGCTCCTTCCAGCCCCAGCTCCCTCCCAAACTCAGCTGCATCAGATGTTTTCCTAGGCACTGGCATAAACCTTGTTACTTACTAGAAATGTGGCCCTGCGGGTTCCAGGGCATTCTTGGGAGAAGGAAAACACCATGTGGATGTGGCCTGTTCCAAGGCTTAAAATCAGTGGGCAATAGCAGCGCTCAGCACCTGAGTGCCCTGAAGAACGGGGTATAAAGCTGCGATTGCTCCAGCTCTGTAGAGGTACCCGGTTCCCCTGCTCGCCAACTGCCCCTCTGCAAACCGGACCAGCAGCCGTGCTGCTCGGGGCTCTGGTTATGAAGACATCCCTGCGCAGGAAAGGAGAGGGCTTAAGCATATGTTTAAGTGCTTTCCTGAATCCAGGCCAGGTCCTGTGCTTTAGCAGAGCACAACCTCGCTCATCTTCCTCTCTGTATCAGAGCAAGACGGGAGCCCAGATGCTTGGAGATGATCCTTCATGCCTCTGGCCATGGGTCTGCTCTGACCAGTGCTGCAGAAACACATCTCTAGTGAACACTTCCCTCCAGGGAAATAAAAGGTCCCAGGGAAGCTGGGCTGTCAGCACAGACAGAAATGTTTACCTCTTTGCTGCTGGGTAGAGATGCATAGAAACCTGGAAAAAAACCCAGCCACCACCTTTCTTTGGAAAGAAGGAAATTGCTCTCTAATCGGGCATGTGGAAGTGAACTTGTGTGCTGACTCCAGAGGAATTTCGGCTGTTCCCCGGGGGGTTGTGATTGCTGTTTGGGTCACATCCCAGCTCTGATCTCGGACTTGCCTTTGGGAGCGGGATTCCTCGGCATGGAGCTGCTGGCATTTGAGGAATGAGTGATGCTCATTTCAGAAAACCAAGCAAAACGAGTGTGTGGCGCATGCAATTTAGCTGTGTTCTTCTTAGCAGAAATGACAGAATTCCCCCACTGAAATGGAAAAAAATTTCAGGGAGCAGAAGTAAGCCGTAAGAGTTTTTTTCAGGACAAATGTATTTAATCACACCGCTCTTGTTAATGGCAGTACAAGTTCAGGGGCTAAAACCCTCTGCTTACCTCACACCAAGACCTGCAAACCCTGCTTTGTGCAGGTATTCTCACCGGGGGCCTGTGGGATTCACGTGAACAAGTGCTGGGAGGATTAGGAAGCCAAGGCTATAAAGGTGTTGCTGCATTATACCGTTATGGTTCCTGTATCACCAGGAAATAAGAAAATTTAGCAGAGACCCCACCTGATTCCCTCAGAGATCCCAGGGCCAGGGAATGAGGATGCCCTTTTGGGATGGAGGATGGGGAAGCATCTGTCTCTTGATTCAGATCCAGGAGGTTCGGCTCAGTGGAGGGGTAACAGGGCAAAACCCTCTGCCCCATAATGACCTGAAAATATCTGAGCTGGAGCTGTGAGAGGTGCTTAGTAGGCCATCTCAATCATTTAGATAAATGTGGTGGTCCTCCAGCTGAGGATGTGTTGGTGAAGACGGTGCAGATATAGACTGCGTGACTGGAGGAACGCCCTGCTGGGAGTCCCCAGCACAGAGCTGCCTCTGACACCAGTGTCTGATAAACAAGGCATTTTTCCTCTCCTTCCCCAGCAAGCATTAGAGGGCTGGGCCCAGGAGCCATGGGAATCAACAGGAGCCTTTCCAGTGTGGGCTTTGGATCTTCGTCTGGATAAATAAATAGAAGGAAATAACAAATAACATGGTTCTAACAAATATTTTAGAAAGTATAAATGTCTGCCTTTCACTGTGACTCCATCCAAACCCCACAAAGGAAAAAATTTCCCTATTTCTATGATGCTTTTCCATCTGCCTTTCCCCAGTGATTGGGAGTGTTAATGCAGGCACCTTGGCCGGAGAATACAGCTGGCCCACAAGGAAACCCTGCGTGGGATTTCTCTGGGGGTGGTAAGTAACCTTCTCGGCCGACCACCTTTGCGAGCAAGGTTTATGCTTGCTATTGAAAGGCCCTCCCTTGTCTGCAGACTGAGTTCCCATCCTCAGAGTAGCCGTTTGCTGAATTTGAGTGGCTCTATAAAAATTAGTGCTGTATTGGTCTTTTCTGCGGGTTTCTAGCCTCTGGACTGAGGTTTCCACATCTCCCTGCTTGCTGCTGCCTTGCAGCGACATCTGCTGCGCGCTTCTAGGAGGAAAGCGGTTTTCCTTCCTGGGAAAGTGGTCCCTTTTCTCTGGGAAAGCTTGCAGCAAGGCCAGCTTTGGCTTTTAAGGTGGGAGAAAAGGAAGTGGGGAAGTCTGCTCCTTCCTCAAATAAAAACATTTCTGTGGTCCGCGACTTCTCCAACTTGGCTCGGCCCGTGGCGGTGACGCTTTTGTTTTGCAAACTTCTCCCAGCCCAGCTTTGGGTGGGCAATGATGAAAAAAGCCTGCTCTTGCTCCTGGCACAAATCTTGGGAGAAGTAATGCAGGTATCTGCCTGCCCCAGAGCTTGTTTTGAAGAAGGAAGAGGCAGAGCAGCATGTCCCATTCCCCGTGAAGTGTTTTGGGGAGCCTTCCTGGCCACAGCAGTGGATGTAGAGGGAGATGTGAGTACCGACACGCTGGGAGGACATACCTGTGCTTGCCGCAGCCAAGAACTGCCATGGGGTTGGAGAAATGGACTGGGTTGCCTGTTTTCTTTCCTGCTAATGCTTTGCTCTCTGTCTCCAGTTGTAGGATTTTGGCAGAGGTGGCCATGATGTTATGGTTCGTGGTTGGTGCCCTCTTCCCAGCACTGCTCCTGGCTGCACCACCCCCCATAAACAAGCTTGCCCTCTTCCCGGATAAGAGCGCTTGGTGTGAGGCAAAGAACATCACCCAGATCGTGGGGCACAGCGGCTGCGAGTCCAAGTCCATCCAGAACAGGTATGGATCCACTCTCAGTGTGGAGCTGGATGCAGCTGATTTCCATTTGCAGATGGCACCGGAGTGGCTTTGGGAACTGTCACTCGTACAAGAAGCCAGGCACAGTGTCCTGCCTCTGCCCGGCTGCTCTCTGTCTGTCTCAGTGGAAGGTGAAATCTCCTCCTGCCTTTGTTTGGAAGAGCAGGCACCTTTGCTGAGCCCTCATCCCTCCTGTTGTCTTTGCAGGGCCTGTCTGGGACAGTGTTTCAGCTACAGCGTCCCCAACACCTTCCCTCAGTCCACAGAGTCCCTGGTTCACTGCGACTCCTGTATGCCAGCCCAGTCCATGTGGGAAATCGTGAGTATCCCTGCCTGCTCCACGGTTCTTTCTGTGGGGCCTCGCTCAGGGGCTCTCAGCTCTGCTCTGCCACCACTTTAGGGCAAGTTATTCCCCTTCCCTGAGGTTTTCCTACTTGTAGTTCCCTTCCAGGGTGTCTCTCAGGTGACTGTACCCTGTCTTGAGACGCCTGGGTGGAAGGGGCTGCTGGAAGCAACATGACTGCTGTGATAAATGATGCATTTATCACGCTGTTTGCAGAAGCATTCCCTGCCAGTCCCTGCATTATTCATCCTTGTGCTCATCCCGCTGCCTGTTCTCTTCACCACTGCCTTTGTCGCCTCCTCCCACTTGGGAGTTTTTGCCTTCTTCAATGTCCAGAAGTGCTTCCCACAGCCCATCTGCCAGTCACCCTCAGACCTTCCAGTTTCATGCCACAACTGATCATGGCAGAGCCATAAATCCTGCCTCCGAGGCAAGCCTAGGCACGCAGGGAGCTGGGTTCAGCGCTCTGCTTTGCTTTCAGCTCAGACATTTGGGCAGATGGTTTAGTCCAAACTATCTAAGATGCTCAGCAACGTGTCTTGTGGGTGGCTTTTGCAGTTACCACTGATATTTCTGTGCCAGTAGTGCCTGGGAGCAGCGTCCCACTTGAGTCAGTGCATTTTCCGTGGGTCTTTGCAGCTCGTGACCTTGCGAGACATTCCCAGAGAATTCTTGCCTTGCAGACTGACTGTAGATATTTGTTTATATGGATAGTGAACCATCGCTTCTGGCTTAAAATACCCCAAGTCAGCAGGGTACGGGGCAGGTCAGACTGCCTGCAACAGGATGGCCATCCAGGCATTGAGCCTGCACACTCACTTACTGTGTCCTCATCCCTCTACCCAGGTGACACTGGACTGTCCAGGCAATGACGAGATCCCCAGGGTTGACAAGCTGGTGGAGAAGATACTTCACTGTAGCTGCCAGGCTTGCGGGAAGGAGCCAAGCCACGAGGGAGCCCTGTTCAACGTCTACCTGAACGCGGAGGAGAACATGCCCGCTGAAGGTCCCAGCCCCCATCACTATGCCCACCACCAACAGGAGGTGGAAGAACCTCCTGCCTCCAGCCACCACCATCACGAGGAGGAGGGCGACGAGTGACCTGGCCCTTATGGACTGTCCTTGCAGCCAGCGGCGCGGGCAGGGGGTGTGTGCGAGGGAGAGGGCCGGGGTTTGGGGAGGGAGGGGGGTGGTGGAGTCTTTCCTGTCTAATAGCTACCCTCATGCTTTGCTCTCCACGACACCCCGGGGCCGGAGGAAGATTTTGAGGTACAAGCAGGGCTGAGAGGCGGACGTGAGGCTGGAGCTGCAGGGTGAGAGAGGAGGGCTCGGTGTTTTCTGATGCAAAACTACTTGCACATAATAGTAATAATATATTGAGAGGAGCGGGAACCCAGACAAGGGGGGTTTCGGCTGAGAGCAAGAGCTGAGCTGGGCTCCCCAGGGGCTGTCTGCAGGCTCCTGAACCTGCTGTGGAGCCCTTGCTGAGTCCTTCTGGGTTTTTCTCTTGTAAACGGCTTATGCTCGGATTGGAGGAAGAAGGGGTGCAGCCTCTCCACAGTCCCACAAGAGATGCACATCTTTCCTGGGGTGTGCGGGACCAGCAGCATCCCTTCTTCCTCCTGTCTACCCTGCCTGCCTAAGGACATGTGGGCTCAGCGTGGACATACAGTTCCTCCTGGCACCCGCTGGATCTTAATTCAACCCCACCCTGCTCGTATTAGGTAGCTCTTGGGGAGTATTTTGCCCCAGGATGTGCCTCTGGGGGCCGCGTGTGTGAGGTTGCTGGGAACCACAGGAGTGAGAGCCCTTTCCTTGCTGGTCCTCAGGGCCACCAAGTAGCTCCCTGGGGACGAGGGAGCTGGATCATGCCATGGGCGCTGGGGCTTCACATTTCATGGCCCACAGGGGAAAGCCAAGAGCAGGCTTGTGCTGGGGTGGTCTGGGTAGGAGCCAGCCCCTCTCCCCCCTCTCCCTGCTGCACTTTAATGGTGGTGGAGGGAGAAGGGGGACGAGTGCCGGGGTGCCCATGTACCTTCGCGGGGGATTGCTCATGCAGGGCTGGGGAGGCTCGGGGTGGGGGGACGGCCCCGGGCCCCTCCTGCTACCCCTTTCTCTCTGTTGTATAAAGCTGATTTCTTTGGCGCTGTCCTGACAAGAGCTTCCAGAGCTTGTAATCGATGCCTCCCCCTCCTTTTTACAAGTTGGTTGTTTTTTTTTTTTTCTTAAATAAATTAGTTCTGACTTCCATTTCTCAGTGCTCTGATGCCTGTCTGGTTTTTGGCAGTAGGCTCCTCGGTGCTGATGGGGGAGAGGCCGTTTACACCAGGACACCAGACGGGACAGCAGCGCAGGAGGGTACAGGGCATGGGAGAGCGATGGTTCCCTTGAGTTTTCTGCTGCATTCAATTTGGGAGGAGGAGGAGGGAGAGCCGCTAAAAGGAAAACCGACCCTAAATACTCAGCAGATGGACTGCATGTGGACACAGGGAGCCTGCACATCAGCTGTCGCCCAGGCGTGGTTGTACTCTAGGGCCCTTAACACTGCAGCCTGGAGGTTTAAGGGCTGTCTGGTCCCACTTATGTGGGAAGTGCGTGGGGTCTCTGCGGGATCATGCAAGCTTTATCAGCTCTGTTGCCACTAGGTGACACTCTTGATCCAGCGTGTTTGGTGGCATCCAGATGTTCATGGCCTCCAGGAGTGCCTCTGGACTGGAGGAAGGCGAACTTGGACGTGGACATGGACATCCCTTCGTGGGTGAGGAGAGGACCCAAGCGCCTTGGCTGAAAACCAGTGGGCTGTTTCCAAGGGCGTTTGGATCAAGCATTCCCTGGACAGGGCAGAGCGTGTCCTTGCAAACCTCTGCTCCCACTGATGGCTGGCTGCCCAGCGTGGTTGTGCCCTCAGAAGCAATCAGATGATGCTCCCTTGTCTGAGCCTAACCCTGAGGAAGGTCCGGTCTGCTCCTGGAGGGGCAGGAGGCTGTGCTGTGCAAGCAGCCAGCTCTTATTGCCCCTCTCTTTGAGTCCCAGGCTCTGGGGGCTCTGCACAAGTTTGGAGAGCAGTCCTCCGGGTGGTGAAGCGGGAGAGGGTTTGTGTTAAGGCAGCAATTGCTACGATGAAGGGCATGGGCTGAAAAGGAAGGACCCTGGCAGGGGTGGTGGTGTCCTGTGCATTAAGATAATTTTTTTAGGCTGTGAAGTGTCTTAAGGATGGGAGCTTTACTGGAGAGCCAGGAGGCAGGAAAAGGTTGAGAAATCCATGCTGTCACCAACCACCATCATGTGGCCCTTTTATTGGTGTATGGTGAAAACAGGAGCTGGATTTAGCAGGGGGACTGTTCCTATAAACTCCCGGAGCTGCAGTTCAGGGTGTTGGGAGCAGGATATCTCCACCTCCTTTCGACACAACCTCAGCTTCAGTGGAGGCAGGCAGTGGAGGGCTGTTCTGCAGATGAAAACACAAATCTTTTAAAGATAGCTAGCCAGGCTCTGCCCAAAACAGGCCCTAAGGAGCCATCCCAGTTAAAAGATGGAATGAGATCCTGAGAGTAGATTGCACTATTGGAGTCCGCTGTGTTAAGCACTGAACTGCCTGGATGTCCTCACCGAGGTCTCTCAGCCTTCCAGTTTTACTCACTGTGGCTCACCAGCCCTTTCTTTGCCATGTTGACATTTGGGTGGCTGTTGACAACCTGGTTTTGCTTTCCCTGCTAGTGGTACTGGAGAGCAGAGCTGGTGGAAACCATGATCCCCTGCAGATGTGTCCAGAAACGCAGCGCAGGGGAGAGAGCACAGAGGCCAGCAGAGCTGCCGGAGCAGAGAAGCTTTTGCAGGGGCAACGGTAGGATTTGGACCTCATTTTAAGGCAGGGGTTTTTTAAACACATTTTGCTTCGATCGATTCAGATTTACTTCCCCAGCAAACGCATCCAAACCAAGCGTGCAAAACCTCCCACATACCTAGTTGTGGAGGACACACTCCTGAACCAATCTCCTTCTCTGAAGCAAAAGCTCTGGAGATAAACTGAGATGCTCCTAAGGTTGGGGTGCAGCAGGGCCGAGAAGGAAGCATGGCTTTGCACTGCGGCATGACTTCCTTGCTGAGCACTAGTGTGGACCCAGCTGGGATAAATCTGTGCTGCTGCATTGATTTATCCTAGCTGGGGAGGCTGCCGCAGTGTGGGCTTGGGGTGGGTTTTCTTGCTTGTTCCCAGCACAGATGGGACGAGGAAGTGAGGGTTTCCTGGTACAAGCGCTTTTCTAAAGAAACCTCCTGCTGCGATCAGAGCCTCGCGTGTGTGTGCTCTGCCCTGGGATGCCTGCCAGGACAGAGTGATGCAGAGGTGGCTGGGGAGGTTTGGCTGGGAGCATCCAAGGAGAGGGTCCTGGGGAAGCAGAGGGAGGGCAGATGCCACACACAAGCTCCCAGGAGAGCTTGTCCGGGTATGAGTGACAGCAGCCATTTCCCAGTGAACAGCTTTCAAGTGGCACGGAGATCCTGGGGGGGGCAGTGGGGTGCGTATGGGCTGTGTCCATGCACAGAGGTAAACCCTGCTTTGCATCTCCCCTGTCCCTTGCTCAGAGACCTGAATTGCCCATTCGGCCACTGAGAAAAGCACGACAAAGTTGTTGAAAAGGTGATTAGAAAAGTAGATCTTGGTAAAGAGACAAATTTCTGTTCCCAGGTGGGCGGCTGGGCAGCACAGCCAGTGCTGGGGGTGCAGCGGGACAGGGCTGGTGGAGCATGCGGTATGCACAGCTGGCGTTCGCCCACACATCTGCAGCAGCATCTTCCCAGGGGAAGCGTGTTAACGAAAGCTTTGGCGGCAATGCAGGAAGGAAAGGACAGCAGCTGGCAGTGTCTGGCCCTCTGACCGCAGGGGTAGGTGCCAGGGGCAAAACAGAGACACACACAACGGCTCCAGTTTGTGCTGGAGTCAGTGCCCTTTGCTCTGGTCTCCCCCCAACAGAAATTGCAGCCATTTGTTTGAAGAAAAAAACCCTTTCGGCAGCTGGCTAATTAAAAAAACCACATCAGTCCCTGCCAAGTACCCTGAGGTACTGGCCCTGAAGCGCAGAGGTGGTAGCATGGGATACCAAACAGCACTTAAATATTCAGAAGCGTCTTCTGAACTAGAGGGGATGAAGCAGGACCGGCTGGGTTCTCTGACATGTTGCCTCCCACTTGCCAAAGGGCAAGTTGCCTTGGGTCCATCCGGGGTTGCCCCTGCAAAAGCAGGGTCTTTGGCTGCGAGGCCAGCCCAAATAACCCCGGAGCAGAGGAGCAAGACTCCTGGCTGTCCTGGCGTGAGTGCAGCCATTTCCCTTGGCTTCTGCTTGCACCCTCCATCCCTGGCTGCAGACTGCTGGAAAATCAGCCAGCAAGTCCTTTCCGTGCCTCTGGCTGCTTTCTGAGCAGGCAACTGTGGGCTGTTGCATGCAGGGTTTGTTGCTTTTTATTTGGATTTGCAAAATCTTGCTTCTTCTCAGCTGGCACAGAGGATAGAGCCTGGTGCTCGGTGCTGCCGGCTGGGCTTAGCTGCAGACCTGCTGGCCTGTGGGTCGCTGCCCACCTGCCAGGTGAATGCAGGGGTCTCCCGTGTTGGCAGAGGTGGCAGGCGCAGGGGAGGCAGAGCACGGTGCTGGCTGTTTCTTTAAGGCGGAAAAGGGAACTCTCTGGCTGCCACTTTGTGGAGTTTTGACCAGATCCCTGTTTTCATTAGCATTTCATTTCATCTCCTCCTCTCCCCCCCTCCAGCCCCACCTCCTCCGAATCGGCATCTCTGCATCTTTTTCTGTGCATCACAGATCGGCAGGTAAAAGTCTGGCTGGCACCTGCACGCACACACACACTCACGCTCACACACACACCCTTGCATGCTGGACGCACCTCTGCTGGGGGAGAGACACCTTCCCACGCTCCTGCGTGTTGCATCTTCCTCCTCATGGGCGAGCTTGGCTGGGAGCATCCCTGTACTCGCCTCAGGGCTGCTCTGCCTCTCCCTGCTGTCTCTGGCTGCAGCAGCAGCAGAAGTCAGGCACCGAGCTGCTCCGTGGAGCCCCGCTGCCCCAGGGAACAGAGCTCTGCAGGTAGCCAAGCCTGGCTGGAGGGGTGAGAGCTAAGCCTCGGAGCTCCAGAGCATCCTCAGCATCTGAAACGTCCTGGGATCCAGAGCATCCCCAGCATCCAAAGTATCCTGGGGTCCAGAGCATCCCAGCATCTAGAGCATCCAGAGCATCCTGGGGTCCAGATTATTCCCTGGTCCAGCACATCCAGAGCATCAGAGCACCCCTGGCATCTCGAGCATCCCAGCATCCAGAGCATCCCAAGCCTCCCTGGTGTCCCGAGCATCCCCAGCATCCAGAAGCAGTGTCCAGGGACATCCCAGCACCAGAGGATTTGCAGGGATGAGGAAATGCCTGGCTGTGAGTAACGGGGAGGGGAACCTGGCTACAGCTGATCGGCTCCTGGGAATGTCACTCTGCCCTGATTGCCAGTGAAGAGAGGGAGTGGGGGAAGAAAGGGAGAGGAGGAGGAGAGGAGAAAGGAGGACGGACACAGACCAGGGAGAGAGAGATGGTACTTCTTCCCCTGGAGCTGGCTCTGGCGATGATCACCTAGCACAGGTCACAGCCAGAGAAGGTCCCCCCAGCTCCAGAGCCAGCCCTGCCGCCTGGCTCCTCATGGAGGGCGATTTGGGGGCCCCCAACGCCAGTGTGCTGGGCGAGCGCTCGCTGCTGGTGGGGAGCAGCTGGGTGGCTGCTTTCCTCTGCTTCATCATCCTGCTGACCACGGCAGGGAACTTCCTCCTCATCCTCCTCATCGTCACCCAGCGCTCCCTCCGCAACACCTCCAACTACTTCCTGGTGTCCCTCTTTATGTCCGACCTGATGGTGGGGCTGGTGGTCATGCCGCCAGCCATGCTCAACCAGCTCTACGGCCGCTGGGTGCTGCGGGGTGACTTCTGCTCCCTCTGGTACTCCTTCGACGTCATGTGCTGCAGCGCTTCCATCCTCAACCTCTGCGTCATCAGCTTGGACCGCTACCTGCTCATCATCTCCCCCCTCAAATACAAGCTGCGAATGACCTCCTGCAGAGCCCTCTGGCTCATCCTGGCCACCTGGACCTTGGCTGCGCTGGCCTCCTTCCTGCCCATCAAGATGGGCTGGCACGAGCTGGAGTTCGAGGTCCGGTCCCCGAACATCACCTCCCAGGGGGACGAGGACCAGTGCCGGCTGCTGGTCAGCTTGCCCTACGCCTTGGTGGCCTCCTGCCTGACTTTCTTCCTTCCGTCTGCCGCCATCTCCTTCACCTACTGCCGCATCCTCCTGGCAGCCCGCAAGCAAGCGGTGCAGGTGGCTTCCCTCGCCTCCAACGTGGCCACCGCCACCACCGATGAGACCGTGCCCCAGGTAAGGTGGCCACAGGGACGTTGCTCCTTGCAGACCCCCGTGATTTGGGTGCCTGGGGTGTTTCTGCCTTCCAGATGGCCTCGGGGCCACAGCCGGCAAAGGGCTTTGGCAACCAAACTGCAGGGAGGGAGATTTTGGGCAACATCCACCTCCCCGATGTCCCCCGAGGTGCCCCATGTCTTGTCCCACCAATGGTGGGCTTCTAAGCTGCTCAGGAGCACAGAAACAGCATGAGCAGAAGCAGAGAAATACATTAAGATACAGGTGAAAACGCTCAGCAGCGCAAAATAAATGCAGTTTCGACCCCCTCTTGGCTAGCATTATCCCAAAGGGTTTTAATCTTATCTGACTTTCCACTCATAAATCTTGGCCATGGTGGGTGTGAGACATATGGGGGAGAAGGAGTTTAAATAATAGCCAATACCAAATTCTGGAGAGCACCTTATTTTGAACAGCCAGCTTCTATTTTTGTTACCTGGTCTATAATGGGAACTGCAAAATACCTCCTTACTCGATTGCTGGTTAAACTTGTGTGTGTGTTTTTTATAAGCAAAACGTGGCTGCACTTGTTTGCATTTCTCTGGGAGAAGGTAATTGCCACTAAATCTAACAGCTTTAATTCCCTATAATAGGCTTTATTGACCTCGTATCCTACAGGGAAAAAGACAAACTTAATTGCCTTTAAATACCTTCATTTAGTTTGTTGTTCTCTCTCTGTTAAGAAAGGAGCCAGGACTCTCTGACCTGGGCAGCTGTCCCACACGTGATAAGATGTACCAGACTTTCAAAAGGAAAATGAGAATCAAAGAATAAACAGACAATATCATAAAATGTTTATTTTCTCCCCGGATGCCAGGTTTTTGGACTCTACAAACACAAACCGCCACAGCCCTATGGCCCCAGTGCTGCCCCACTCAGGGGACTGGGGGATGCTCAGGTGCTTTGCTCGGCCATGGAAAACCAGCATCCACTCCCCGTATTTCAGCAGAGGCAAGTGTCCCAGCAGATTCCTAGGACGCCCAAATCAGCTCAGGCAGAGGGTGAGCTGAAAAGAAGGTGTTGGTCAGGGAACCCTCGAGTTTCATCTTTTTAACTGGATTTTTGTTCTTTTTTTGGACAGGAAGCTGCGTGGCAACAGGGCCTCGTTTAATTACGGCGGAGGGCTGAGATAATAACTTAATTTTAGATTGCAAGAGTGGATAGAGGACTGAGTTAGTTACGGTGTTTGCAGGCTGAAATGTTTGACGTCCTGCTTTTAAAAATATAGTTTGCTGCTCTAATCAGCAGCTAGTGCTGCCTCTTTAGGGCACGCTTTATCCTTACCAAAACATTGACCGAGTTGAATTTTTCTATAAAAGAACCAGCCTAATGATAAACCCCCTATTTTACAGTAAAAAAAATAAAAATACTCTCAGCGTTGAGGGTTTCTATTGCTTCCTCTTCCTGATTTATGGTTCGGGGACTGCAGTGTGTGCCATCCTCCTGCCCCTTGCAAGAAGGGAAACAACAGCAGGGTTTTTTTTGCAGGATTTGCAGCACCAAACGCCACTTTTCTTGGGTGGGAGGCTGGTGCCGGCGCTGGCGGCTCCGACCGAGGGAGAAGCGCTCACTCACCGCTCCATCTCCCACTGCAGGTTCCCTGCGCCCCGAGCCAGCCCGCGGCCAGCAGCGAGAGCAGAAGGTTCGCCAGCAAGCACAGCAAGAAGGCGCTGAAGGCCAGCCTGACGCTGGGCATCCTCCTGGGCATGTTCTTTGTGGCTTGGCTCCCCTTCTTCGTCACCAACGTGACACAGGTAAGCACGTGTGGGTTTTTTTATGTTGAGTATTCTAAAGCTTTTCACTTTGAATCCAGCTGGGTTGGATCTCAGATACCTGCAGGTCTTGCTGGAAAGCCTCTGGGACCAAAGATGCAATTTCCCCAGGGAGCAACAGCAAGGAAAAACCCTTCAAAGGGGTTTTGGAGGGTTCCTTCGAAAGGGAAACGTTGGCATGCCTGGGAAACTGCTCTGGATCGGGGCCGAGGTGGGAGATGCTGCTAATCCTTGCGGTGTCCCCCCGCCAGGCAGTCTGCAGCTGCGTCCCGGCCAGCTTCTTCGACGTGCTCACCTGGCTCGGGTACTGCAACAGCACCATGAACCCCATCATCTACCCGCTCTTCATGAGGGACTTCAAGAGGGCCATGGGCAAATACCTGCCCTGCTGCCGGCGTTTGGGGGAGCCCCGTCCCAGCGCCATCTCCCTCTCCATGAGGAACTCCAACAGCGGACCCCGTGCCGCCACGTCCCTCAAGAACGTCCTCACCTTGCAGGCTGAGACCGACTCGGTTGACTCCGGGGTGCTGGGGAACGAACCCAGCCTGCTGCCAGCTGGCAACGGTCCCACGGTTCTCCCGGCCCCCAGCGCCCGCTTGGTCAACCTTTTTGACATGGAGCACTCGGACACGGAGCTGCAGCCCAAGCAGCTCGGCACCCCCGTGGCCTGAGCGAGGGTGTCCCAACGGGGGGTTATGGACCTCTGTGTGCTGGGAAGGATCCCCCAGCCCAATGCAAACTGTCTGGAGGGCCAATTTGCTGCAAGACACCTCCTTGCCCACGCATTGCTGGTCGATACCCTCTTCAAACGCAACATGCGTCTCCTTGGAGAAGACGTCGTCGCCGAGCACTCCCGTGGGTAGGTTTAAACAGCGCAAAGCCACGTTTTACTGCTGAATTCATCTGCCTTGTTTCTCTCTCTTTCCATCCCTCCTTTGCTCACCGTCACCAATCCCTCACCCTTCTCCAAGAGCTGCTTCTCGTGGCCTTTTCATCTCCGGTTAGTCTGAACCTGGGACTCCAGACCCTTCCGCCAGCCTGTGTCTCCCTAAACTTAAACCAGGGCTTGGTTTTCAGCTTCCACTCACGCAGCTCGGCAGATCACCTCTATCATCTCACCAAGTGCACCGAGAGGACCAGTCGAAACCACATCCCGTGACTCACAGACAAGAGATTTGGGGCTGCTTCAGTCCACAGAACATCACGTCTTCTTGGAGTTTAATTTCCTTGCCTGATTTGGATTGTATCTGTCTTGGTTTCCTGTGAAAGCAGTGAGTTGCAACACAGTGAAACCATTGTGTTTAATCATGAACAGCCTGCGCTACGGGGGATTAAATTTGATGCAAAACGTTCAACGCTGCTTTTTGGATATTCAGCAAGGGTGTGGGTGTTCGACTTGTTTGTGGCTCTATGGGTATCCTGACAGTAGTAAGTAAGGAGATAAGCTTCCCTTTAGATTTCATCCTACAGGTTCCTATTTTTGGCATATGACCATCATACTTGGCTCTGACAATCCATCAATTTTTAGATGATGCAAATAGAAAATATACTATTTTTTCCCCCTCAAATAAGAATCTAAATGAATATTGCCTTTTAAATGACAATGCCAGCCTCCCCTTCCCCCCAGCCATAAGCAGAGAGAATAGTGAGTAATGTGGTAAGCGGGCACTTAAAAAAAAAAAAAACAACAAATGCTTTTAGCAAATTCTTCCTCAAGTGCCTTTCAGATGCAGAGATGGGTTGGTAGTTGGTTGCTGTCCCCTCCCTGGACTTGTACCCTCCAAGCTTTGCTGCCTGTTTCTGAGCTCACACTAATGAGTCTGACTGTGCTCCTGAAGCTCACGATTATACAAACAAGTACAAAGCATCCGTAGGATATGGGATGCTGGAAGAAGCAGCCACATGCCAAGCAAGTCTCATTAGGTTTCTTTCCACGTTGCCCACATACGTTCCAGAACTGAACAACAAGTGTTTTTATGACTAACTTGTCATTTATTTGGTACAAATCCCCTTGCAACCGACGGCTGGCCCAGCGATCAATGATAAGTGGCCGTGACAAATGGAGGACTGAGCATAGGTTCAAACATCAAACTGTTTAATACATTTTTGCCACATATCTGTGGACAGATAGCTTGGGTTTGGTATCAAGCACAAAGATAAATATGTACATCCTTCCACAAATGGCTTTATATAAAACCATACTTTGACTACAACTCCAGTTAAAAAGGAGTAGAAAAATACACGATGAACTCTGAAAGTCTGTTAGGTAACCAAATCAGCAGACACAGGCTTCAGGAGATGAACAGAGAGAGACCACTTCTTCAAGCCACATGTTCAAAAGCAATAACACGTTACTCTCTCATTGAGCTAATTCTTGGTAAGAAGGTGTTTGCTTGTGGACAAATCCTCTGATGCGGTGGAGAACTCGTATCCCTTTCCTGCAGCCAACGGCATCAACACCGACCGGCAAAACAGGCCCGTCACTGTGGGATCCCATAGCCTGTCCTGGAGACGGCTCCCATCGCTCGGCAGCGAGGCACCGCTTGAGAATCAGAGCGGAGCAGGTCTGAGCCTCCCTCAGCGGCAGGACTTGGGGAGAGGAAAAGCTGGGCACCGTACCCAAAGCTGCCGTGCATTGCCAGGTAACGCTGCCACCCCCAGAAACAGCCACATTTTTGACTTCGTGAGACATAAGCTACAGGTAAGGTTTTAGAAAGCTGGGGAAAGAAAGGAGAGATGGTTATTAAACTAGCTGCTGGAACGGGGAGGGAGGAGGAGGACACCGTGTGAACCAAAATCGGAAGCTGCAGTCGCGGTATTTCCCCTCTCGTGAGTCAATGAGACCTTCCAGATCTGGATGTGGGAAGGTATTTATACCATCCGGCACTTGTTTTAAAACAGAAGAAACACAGAGGTGTTCTCAGAAGGGGGTTTATCCTCCTGCTAGATGCGTTTTCTTGGGCTTAGCAGCAAAATAGGCCAGAAAAGGACCTTTTATGGAAAACGTGGATCAGTCCCATACGGTTTTGGAAGACTCTGCATAGCAGGGGATGTAAAGCACGGTCCCTCCCTCCAGTTTGAGACTGGGGGAGAAGAGAGTGGATGCCAATTTGCTTTTATGGAAGGAGGTAGAAATCAAACAGACTGATGTTTATCCTATGCCAAGTATTGGTTTTATTCTAAGCCAATTAATAATATGTCTAGAGGGGGCTTTTAAGGCTGGAGATGTGTGTGGGACACAAAACGAAAGTCTCTGTGGGTTGCTGGCTTGCAAAGCCTGGAAGGAAGTTTCACAAAGTAATAAATCATAAAAAGCCCACTCTGTTTCTTCTGCTGTCTTTCACCTAGGGACTCAAAGCATGTTTCTAATAGTAATGAGGCCTCGAACACTCATCGCCCTCAGCTTGCAGATAGGGAAATGGTCTTGTTGATTGGGAAGTGCCCAAGCCCTGGCAGCAAACCTGCAGCAGACTGTGGAAGGAAGCCAGGTAGCCTGAGCCTTTCACCTCCCCAGTTAGCAGAGCTGAAGCGCGAACGCTGAGACGTACATAGCTGGGCAGCCAGAGCCTGCAACATACCTGCTCACGTGAAAAAACCAAAAATCAAATTGACCACTGGTGGAAAAAGGTTTTTAATTTCCTAGTGCCAAGCCCCTCTCCACGATATGCTTAAAAATACCCACAAAGCCACCTGCTTTCCCAAGAGTTACATAGCAGAGACACAGTCCCTAATGGTGACAGCTGCTTCCCTCAAGAATAAACCCAGTTTCTGCAAGGAGGGAAGTGCCACCGCTTCTGGAGGAGCAATGCTGATTCAGGCAGGAATCAGCCCTTTCTCGTCCGTGGGAGATGCCGTGGGCTGCTGTTCCGAAAGCTTTGATCCAGTGACATGCCAGTGCCATGCTCCAGGCTCGCAGGATGGTCTGAAAACTGCAGCTACAGCTCTGCTGGCTCTACCGATACTCCTTTGGGAATCCCAGTGCAATGGACGGTGCTTTGAAAGCAGTTTTACTGCTGGCTGAGCATCTCTGCCCAACATGAAGAGCTCTAATTTGTTCCTTCACCTGCTGCCTGTTTCTTGCTGTCCCCGCTGTTTGAACAGTCCAGGTAGGGGAGTGAGGTTTCTCCCAAGAGATAGCTGGGGGAATCATGCTGGTGAGCATGGCCAGCTGGGAGACCTTCACTGTCAGCCGCGTCTTCCTCTCGCACAGTATTTTCCTCTTTCCGAGTCTCACTGCCTGCTGCCCGCTGCGATTTCTTGGCTAGAGGGGAGAAAAGACTGCCGCTGCCCTTCTCTTCCAGCTGACACTCCCTGGTTTTAATGCCCACAGCTTTTAGGATCGTGTCCATTTGCTTCATGTAGTCCAGATGGCCATTTACCTGCAAGCAACAACGAGAGTCCTGTTAGAAGGGAAGCTGTGGGGAACCCAGCTCAGTCAAGTCCTTCATTTCAAAAGCCACCACTGCCGTGAGACTTGGGTTTAGCTCTGAAAGGCTGGAAGAATGAGGTCTGAAAAAAGCAGTTGTCCACTGAATAACCTGAACTGGCTGCACCCTTCGTGGCACACGCTGCTGCCAGATTACTTTTCCTCTAAGATGTGTATGTTTAAATGCTTAGAAATTGCTGAGTTACAAAACCCCTGATTCTGGGTGCCACGAGGGTAAGAGAGGAGGTGATCTGCCATGGTGAGAGACACCCAGGTAGGAGACAAGTCGTCTTAGCTCAACTCCCTGTTCTCTGCTAAATCACGTGTCCTCCCTGTGCCTTAGCTCCCTTGTAAAAGCAAAGCAAATATTATCTTATTTAAATTAGGATATAGTCATTAAATCTCACAACAACTACCAAGCGTGTTAAGGTTCTTGGCTGGAAGGTGCACTGATCTGTCCCACACCATATAAAACTGAGAGCCTGAGAGTTATGGGTTCATAAACCAAATTAAAGTCAACAATACGTGCAAAACCCCACACATTTTCATTGTAAGATGATTTCCATGATAAGATAAACCCTTCTGAGATGGATATTGGAATGCACCCTTCCAGTCAGGGCACAGGAGGGAGAGAAAACCTCCTCTGCAGGTTATTATTGTCATATGCTGAAGGCTACCTGGCTGGAAAGGCAGAAACTGCCTTCTCTCTTTCAGGTGTCCTGTGCAAGCCAAGCATTTGAAGTAACGATAGCCAAGATCCTACTAGAGACCAGCCTTCAGATCTCCTTTGCTGTTGTACTCACAGCCAAAATGGGAGGAAGCCCTTGTGAGCGCAAGGTGGATTTATAGTGGGTTTTTCTGTGGAGAGGAAAAGTGCTGTCAGGCTGAATTGAGGCTATTTTCATGGTACACTCACCAGCTAGCCTGTAGATTTCAGCAAAGATTAAGGGGTATGATTTGCATCCCAAGATATTTTAGCATCTTTGATAAATTCAATTTCTAACAGTTAAAATCCCTCCTGACCCAGCCAGAAAGCTGTCTCAGGCAACACTGCCTCGTATTTTCCCAAATCTTGCTAGGAATACCCAACACCACAGTCCCAGGTTTCCTGCTTCCCAGCCGCGTGTACAAGTGCTCCAGGAAGGGGCTGTCTGCTCGTACAAGACGGTAAGAGCTCTTTACAGAGGTCTGCAGAGAAACCCAGCCGTGGACGCTCTGCTCACCTCCCTGCCAGCTCAGTCTGGGA